TCTTTTGATTCTCCCATTCACTGTTTTCTATAAGCAGTTAACTTAGTATAGCCAAAATATTAGTACAGATATAGCTTTAACATGATCATCATTGTACTGTTGTTTACTTTATGTCCTTTCCTTTTTTAAAATGATGGGAGAATTGGTTACCTTTCAAAAATGGTATGTTTGTTACTTAGAAAATTTGACCTGTATTATTCTTTCAAGCAATAGTTACACAACATATTCAGTTATCCAAATCTTCACTCCAAATTTTTAGCAATAATGTCAAGTGTCTTTCATTAAACTTACATTTTCTTTTCTTTATGGCAAGAAGCTTTATATTTAGTTTAATTACAGTAGAGTGAAATAATTAAAATGTGATTCATGAATGATACGGATTCAGAATGAATTTCTTGAATTATCCTACTGAAATTATTGTCTGATCTACCAGAAAACATTTCCACAAACCCTGATTTTCAAAATTATAGAAAAATCCAAATTCTTTATAAGTATCAATAACTAGACACTGCAGCTTTATTCATTGTTAGAGGATTTTTTAAAAATATTTTTATTTATTCATGCAGAACTGGGGTACAGGCCAGAGATGCGGAGGGTGAGAGGCTTCACCAGAGACAGAGTGGGGAGCAGAACAGGTAGATGGACGAACTACACTGCTGAGGGGAACATCGGGCGAGTCAGGAGAAGTCTGCCGCACCATGTGGTCTCCTCCGGGACAGGCGGGGATTGAACTCATGTGGAAATGACTAGCTTTTTAGTGCTGTGCTTTAACCCGCTGCGCCACCAGGGAGGGCCCATTGTTAGAGGATTTAAAATTCAAAATAGATTAAGAGAAGTCACATGAATGTCCTATATAACTCCTGAATGGTACCACCAAATAATGAGGGAGTTTGCTACTGTCAGTGCTGAGAACAAGACAGATGCTATGGCTAAATTCTGGCTTCCTCATAGCGTGGCTCAATTGCCTTGCAATGGCAGATGCATCTCGTGGAAAGGACTATCCCAACATGCAAGACAGAATTTCCCTTTATGTAAGTGGGAAAGTTTTCATTCTGAATCTCTTCAAAAGGGATCAATATCACATTAGTGAAGAAAAAAAAAAAATCAGAATACTGTGGATTGTGCTTTTCAGGGTGATTATATCCAGTAAGGAGATAAATCACCTTTGCAAGGAACATTACTGGAAAGGAATATCTTTCCCAAAAGCCAGTACAAAAGTGACCAGGGATTACAGATACAGAGGCAGTGAGCTACTGTTGTAAACATGAAAAATGAGAGTGGAGGTATTTAATGTGGTTTATAAATTATTTAATGTAAAAAAAAAATCAAGATGACCCCTTGCTTGGTTCCTTGGATAGCCTGACTCATAAATTTTTTTTTTTTTAAGATTTATTTATTTGTTCATACAGAACTGGGGTACAGGCCAGAGGCTCAGGGGTGGCGAGAGGCTTCACTAGAGACAGAGTGGGGAGCAGAAACAGGCAGATCTACGAAGTACACTGCTGAGGGGAGCAGCGGGCGGGTCAGGAGAGGTCTGCCACGCCATGTGGTCACCTCCGGGGCAGGCGGGAGTCGAACTCATGAGGAAGTGGCTTTAGCTTCTCAGTGCTGTGCATTCACCCGCTGCGCCACCAGGGAGGGCCCTGACTCATAAATTTTAAACTTACTGATGTTGGGGGATTCAGCAACCTAACTCATACATCTGCCATTTTTCTTTTTATCCACTTTAGCTCTTGATGAGGTAAATAACCTAAATTCCCGATTATAAGCAGATTACTTTTCTACAATCCAAGTCTCAAAATGATGATGATGATGATAATAATAATAATACAAAAGTTGGTAGGAAGTCTTTTATCTTGCGACTGCATCGAAAAATGTTTAAGAAATAATTTTTGTTGAAAAGCATACTTGAGAAGTTTTCCTTGGAAGATATCTTGAACTTTTTGTTAATTATAGGAACTTTCTAATGTGGATAAGTTAAACAGAATAGAATAGTGAGATATTCCCAATCACCACCTGCCAAAAGACTCCAGTATTCTCATTATTTAAGAACAAGTGCATAAATGTCCAGAAGTTTCTTTGGAGAAAGATGGAAGGGTGACTGCTAGGATTTTAAGGAGAAGAAATTCTTCAAATTACTGTGTTTGTCATTTACTGTCAAATGTTTGCTAGTTATTGTGCTGACATTTATTATAAGCATATTTTTAAAAACTGTAAAAATAAAAACGGAAATAATATTTTGAAATAGTATTGGTACAGTTGATCTATGGGAAGAAAGTAGAGGAGAGGTGAGGGAGGGTAGGAGAAGGGGCATTGAAGGAGGGGCTAGAAAAAGAGAGGAAGGAGCATACCCCTTTGCCCTTTAGTCATATTACCCTTAGGTTATGTCTACCACCAGAGCTTCTCCTAATACTATCTGTGGGACAGCAGCCATTTTCAAGCGCCACATCAAAGTGTATTGAGCCAGAATCTGCATTGTGATGAGATGCATAGGTGATGTGTATTCTGTTTTGAGAAACACTGCTCTACAGCAATGTGATATGATGACATGCCAAAGGTGAAACACATTCTCTGAAGCAAAAGGAAACAAAATGCACATGGTACAGACAACTTCTACTGATATGTCTATCAAAACATTAATCACAAGTATGTGATTAATAATGTAATGCAGCAGTCATTTTATAAATCTAGAAAATGGAAACAGAGATACATTTTAAGTACTATTTTCTGTGGGTTTTTGGGAAGGAGAGAGAATAACAGAAGGGGAAGATTACAATTGGCTCTTTGCAATAGTTTTTCCTGTTCACCTTATGTCTATTAGTAACCCCATAAAAAGTCATACAAGTTAATACTAAAAGCAACCCATTATACTTTTGTTTATTTAATGAGCAAATAAAATTAAAATTTTATGTTATATATAAAGGCTATCAGATTTTATATTCCAGTTCATAGTACATTAAATGATACTTTAGGAAAGGAAACAGATGTGTAGGTTCCTAAAATGAAACTGTTATTAAAAGTAAACAATTAACAATGTATTAGAATAATTTCTTATATATTGTATAGCATAATTATAAAAGTGGTCTATCAAAGATCTAAATTTTCTTAATTGTCACTGCTTAGAGCTGTGAGCAAGAAAACATGTGACAGATAGGAATAGAAAAGAATATAAAATGCAATGATAAGTCTGAAATGACTCATACATTTTTTTTAATATACCAGGGAGCTATAAATGCACCTGTTTACCTTGACTATTTTGATGGAAAGATCATCCCATTGTTTACTCAAATATTTTAAACGATATTGCAAGACATTTTTAAATGCTAAAGTCTCAGAAATATCTTTGGCTACAAAAAATGGGATAATGCAGAAGGTACCTATTTTTGGAAAACTTGTAATCCTGTATGATTTATAGTTAAAAATCAAAATTGAGATTTTATATCCCCATTCCCATATGTTAGAGAATTATTGTGTCTCCAAAACTGCCTGAATTACATAAAACATTTTTAGGTAAAAATCTTAACTTTTTTTGTATAATTTGTGTATATTATGCTTATATATTTCAATAACAAGATATAGAACATTCATCTAGCCTTATTCTTTATGAATAATCATTTTATTTTTGCTTTTAAATAAGTCAAAAAACATACAATTACACTTTTCTATAAATAAGTAAAACTCAGTGGAAAATGAAAATACCCATCCAATGCATCAAAATTCAATACTATTTTCAAATTAAAGTATTTTCATATTGCACACAATAGAGAAGCTGAACTTACATTATTTTGTGATCATGAGATATTTTTTATTTACCTTTTCTAAGTGTTTTTTTTTAATTTTTATTCACTGATTTTTTGGTACATCATCATAGTTCCCATCATTTTCCTGCCGCCTTATCATCCGTAAGTCATCACAATATTCCTTCGTGTTCTTCCCTCCCCTATTTTATCCCCCTTCCCTCCACTCCTTTACTGTCTGCCTCAATTCTGTGGTCAGCTAGTAAAAATATATTTTTTAATGTTTTAAAAATAAATTAAAGTGCTGTAAAATAAAATGTTTTATGTGCTGCATGCTAAGGAACTATTTTCCTAAAAGTATCGTTGCTCATTTGAAGTGAAAGTATAAGAAAGTGAAACAGTTTTCATTTTCAACTATGTTGAAGATCTTGTAATGATATCTTATCCTTAACCTATCATTTTGATTTCTAATCCATTAAAATTGCTCTTTTTATCTGCTACTTTAGACTTAAAAAATTTCAAATTAAATGAAAATGTTATTAAACCTCTTTTCTACAGAGAACAAATAATCCCTAAGTATACCATTTATGATAAATCTGAATCATGTACAATAAGTTTAAATATTGATAAGAGAATTCACATCTTGAGAAATGTATTCTCATTCAAGCTGAAATAGATTCCTTAGCCAAGTGAAAAGCATTTATCGCCATGTAAATTTCACTGCAAATATATATATACTTAAAATTTCTAGCTATCCGGATCATTGTCCTTTTCTTTACCAAAGATGACAACCTTCTCATCTTAAGTATTCTTTAGTGATTTAAATTGCTCATCTTACTTTTTTCATCTTATAAATCATAGTTCAAGCACATTGTACTTTCTTTTGACATAACCAGGTAATTGTCAATTTGCTCTTCTCAACCATACTTGTGCTTATAGAATTAAAATTGTCATTATGCACAACTTAAGTAAAAAGAAGAGAGATTAGTATTGTAAAATGGCCAGATTCAAACAGAATGTCAAAATAATCCCTTGCACTAAAGGACTAAAGATACTGTGTCCTAATTTTTTTTTTAACTTCTAAACCTAACTTTTGAAAGGCTTCTAGACTCAGTCATATTGTTACTCAAATACAAATAAATTAAATATTTAATTAATAATTGATAAAGATTGGAGGTGCTTCTACCAAGTGTCTGCAGTAAAAATCTGTTACACTTTGAAAGAGACTGTCAGATGATTTTAGAGTCTACATTTTACTTTCAGATGTAAAATATTTAAAAGAAGAAGATGCAAATCGTAAGACATTCACCGTCAGCAGCACATTGGATTTCCGAGTGGACCGCAGCGATGACGGCGTAGCAGTCATCTGCAAAGTAGACCACGAATCCCTCAATGCCACCCCCCAGGTGGCGATGCAGGTGCTAGAAATACACTGTAAGTAAACACTACTCTGTCTCCATGGAGCTCCTCAGCCAATCCCTCCCTCGACATTTTAAATAATTTCAAAATTGGGGTCTCCCTGATGTCGCAAAGGGTTAACGTGCAGAACTATAAAACTATTCGCAGCCACTGCAGTACAGTTCCATCCCCAGCCAGGGAGAGGACACAGTGGGCATAGCAGTCCTCTCGTGGCTCCTCTGCTGCTCCCCTTAGCAGTGTATTTCAGTCAATCTGCCTGTTCTGTTCCTCACTCGGTTTCTAGTGAATCCTCTCAACCCCGGCACCTTTGGCGGGTACCCCAGTTTTTGTAAGCACAAATAAATCTTTAAAAAAAAAATTCATAATTACCGGAGGGCACAACAAATGTGGAGCCAAATCTTAAAGAAATGAAACTGTTCGTTAGTATTGATGACCTTTAAAGGAAAGTAGTCCTTGCCTGAATGTCATCAGGACACAGAGGGAAAATAAAAGAGCTATCATAAGGTTAAGATGCCTAATTACCTTCAAGTCAGAGATATGGTGTATTGGGTACATGAGGTGATGGTGGAGTGGTAATTTTGGCAGAATCTGTGAGGGCGGGGAATCTGAGAAGGGCTTTGAAGAATATTAGTGTATATTGTTCCGTGTGCTTAATTGCTTAATCTTCTTTTTTTCTTTATCGTCTAAATGAGATATACTAAGTGTTTGTAAGTAGGATGTACCCATTGTTTTCTATACCAACCTCATCATGTTTATGTGATAAAAATCAGTGTTATTTGGATGACTCCTATAGACCAAGGATATATTAAATGCTTTGTGGGAATTAATCTTGTTTTCATGTAATCACATGTTAGGGTACCAGAATAATAGCCTGATGAGGAGTTTCTCTTCTTAGTCATAATTTAAAGGTAAAGAAATTGAAATTCATACAGATTCAGTTACCTGGTCAAGTTCACATAACTTTCAATGGTGAATATGTAGTCATGGCATCTTTAGTAGTTAACAAGGTCCTTGGAGTGCAGTTGGTGGTCTAGAATAAATTATCAAAATGAAAATGAATTAAATGAAACTTATTAAAATAAAATAGAAAAGAGCAGAATACAAGAGAATATATCTCCAAACTGTGTAACTGGATTTTTTTAATTATTGGAGATCATTTGTTTGTTTTTATTGTCTGTGATAATACTGCTTGAGTTTAGAATTTGTGTATGATGCAAAATTAAATTAAATCCCAAACCATTAACTCTAAGTACTATTCTTTGTCATGTGTCTCATTGTATTTTGTTTGTATTAATTTATGCTGAGACATACTTAGTACCTGCCATATAACAAACATTATCTTGGATAGAAGATTACATAAGAGAACAAAGTTAAAACAAATTGAGATTATCTCCAAATGTCAGTATCACTACCAGTACCTATAACAACAAACTTGAGTTCTCTTACAACATTCATTATACTTTAGAATGACAGAAACACAAAATAAATATTGCTTGTTGTGTATTTAGTGCTATGTGAAAATGTTAAGCAGAGAAGTGACAATAACTATAATTTGAGAAATGAAAAATGGGCTTAGAGTTCAGAAACTATGTGTTAGTATGTAGCATATAAAATACATAATACACATGAATATATAATTATAAATTGTATATTAAATGCTTTTATGATTACTGAATAATGCCAAATTTTCATATATATTTGAGAGATGCTGTATATTTTAAAGACATATTTAAAATGCTTATTAAGATATATTTAAAATAAATATATAAAATATGTATGGTGTATAAATTTACTTAAATTTAAATGTGTGTCTGTGTGTGTATTATTCATTGGAAAGAACAAGTACAAAGGTCTAAATCTATGAGGATAACAATGCTTTTATATTTCTAGGAACCATAAAGGTACCATAGATTGGGTTAGTTGGAAAGTATAGTTTTATTAGAAAAGAGAAGAAAAGTGCCAGAATATTCCCCAGAGAATAGAGTAGTGGACAAGTGATCTTTAGCAGCAGTCTTCATCAACATTAGAACAAATGAAGTGAATTGGGGCTTTTTTTTTAATATCTAAAAATAGTAACCAAAGCATCTCAGTGACTGCTCCCAGTGACAGTAGATCATGGTTCCACATCAGCACACATGTATAATATTGCAGATGTTGACATATCCATGGATGCAGTGGGGGAAAGTAAAAAGAATTGGAAAACAAAGTAGAAGTAAGTTGTGGATTAGTAAAGAATTTATGAAACATAAATTTTGGGTTTCCACACTGTTTTACAATGTTTCTGTCATGAATAACCACAAAAACTGGCCCAAATAGAAGAGCATTTACAATTTTGGAATCCCAGCACAAAAGAGTTGCCATTGTTTTTTGTGATGAATTACAATACTAAATATATATTCTTGCAATAATAAAAAGTTATAACTACATCTTAAATAAAATTCCTCATCTCGCGATATTGTGAAAGGGAAAGTTTGATGAGACATAAGGTACGAACATACCGTGCCTAGGAACATCATAAAAAAATTATATGAAGAATTATATTTTTATATTCCTAGATGTTTTAACACTGTACCTTCTGATATACAATTTAGAAGAATTCAGCTTATAAAATCTATTGCAGCAATATTCTTTTCTTTATGAAATATTAATCATAAATTTTACTGCCACTATGATAGAAGAGAGTTTCTTTAAGCTGGAAAAGTAGCACAATGTAAAGTAGAATTCACTGCAATCTGCAAAATATAGCAAAATGGTAACAGCATATTTTGTAACTGACATAGGGAATTTTTTTTATATATGTACATGGAAATTCTCATCCATCTTCCTATTCTTACACAGTACTCTTTGAAACAATAACTTTTGTCTGATTTAATTTTTAGAAGAACAGATTATATGAGTCAGATTTTATTTTATTCTCAGTAGGAATAATGTATCTGTACTAACAGAAAGAACAATGCACAAACACAGAAAGGATGAAAATAACTAAACATTTGTTTTCTATATGTGACATTGACAAAATTACATAAAAATCAACTTTATTGAAAATGAAAAACAATAGAGACAGATTAGTGAAGTCTTTCAGAGTAATAACTCTTCTGAGAAAGTAGCTTAATATAGTGGCATAGTGCTGCTGCTAACACAGATAAAACATACCCAAATTTTAAGTTTTTGTGTGTGCTTGTGTGCATGTCTTGTGCAGTATACATGTATAATTCATTGAATTGTGAAATCATGACATTATTAATATAAGTTTAGTGTTTAGTAACAGTGCCATGCTTTGTTATAAAAGTAACTACATACATACATAATAAGACATTTAAAACAATATATGGAAGAAAATCCATGTTGTGTGAGCAAAGAAGAAAAGAAAGAGGAAAGGAGAGAGGGAGGAAAAGAAGGAAGGAAAGAAAGACATTGCATTGTTAAAATTGTGTGTTTGATGTGATCAATTAGTTTAACTATGGCTGAAAACAAATGCATTATATACCTTAAAATAACATCAAGTCTGGATTCATTTATCATATCTGTGTAAGGGTTAGAGTTGTCATTTTATAATAATGACTTTTACTTTCTTGAGATTTTTTTTCTTTTTCTAGTTAAGATGCAAATGAATAACAACCCATTCTTAGCACCTTAGGTTTAAAAAAAAAAATGTATTCCTGAAGAGATCCCTTCCTTATTTTACTCTCTGTTTTAAACAAAATTAATTTGTGCCTAGAGTGGCTATACACATTTGCTGCTTTTTGGACCATCTAGTGCACATAATTAGTTTCCCCTTTGCTTCTACTTATTCCAGTATAGAATAAGCTGCCCTCCCCTCACTGATTATAGTAGAAGACATTGAATACAGAGGACTCTGAAGACTTGTGATATTTTAGTTTTTAATCTTCATTTCCGCTAAGATGTACAGGATACAGAATAGATTTTAAATTCACGTAGAGACGTCATTGAATGTTCAATGTTCCGTGTGTTGTTAGCACTTTTTCACTTATGAAAGTAATTGTTTCTACCTACACAATCCACCTAACACAAACAACTATACCTCTCTAGCCTGTGTTAGCTTCTTTTAGGATGGCTTGTGTCAGTTGTATGAGCTTTGCTCCCATTACTTTTCTGTTTATTATAGAAATCATTTGATAAAATTTTCCAGGCTATATATTTATTAGACAGAAAGGTGAATGTCACAGATAGCATTTTAAAATAACACAAATCAGTTATTTGGCATCTCATTTGCAAAATTCTGATTATCTCATTATCTTTTCTACCACATATTATCTGTGGCCCAAAGGCATAGAATATAAAAGGAATCAGGAAAGGTTAAATTTTCAGAAATTGAAATAAACTATTCTTTTGACTAACAAACTGCCACCATTGTAACAGGTTGTTTTGAAATAATTTTTAATAGATACTAAAAATATATATTTTTAAAATCATTAAGTTTATACATGTTAGATTCATGAAATAATCTAAGCTGCTTAGCAAAATTTACTTACATTAAATAAGGTAATCTAATATGTTGCTCTACTTGAGATCCCCAAAAGGTAGAAATTTATTAATTAGAATATAAGACTATTATTGTTATATTTATTATGTATATCTTTATGGTATTTTATTCACACACACACCTTGTGACTCAACTTTATATTTAGAGTCATTCTGTTTCTAACTTCCCTCTCACCCACTCAGTTTTACACACTGCCAATAACTTCTTAAAACTTGATTCTGAGTTTGGTATTTACTTGCTTACACACACAAAATAATTTCTTATTACCTCAAGCATTATATTCAAATTTGTTGGCCTACTATTTAAGACTTTGAAAATATAATCTTAGATAATGCTCTCAGCACTCATTTTTATAGATAATGCACTTTACACTGCCATGTTTCTAATGTTGCTATAAATGTAAAAGTCACAACTCTTTCATTTGCAAAACATGTAAGATTTTCCAAAGTCCCTTGATAAAATTTTCTGTGGGGATATTTTCATGGTATTTGTGAATGAAAGGAATATTTTG